TTTTTAATGTTTTGTTGAAAATGTGTATGCACTCTTGTTTATAGGTGTTGTCAAATGCTATCCCTGAAGTGAAACATCACATATCTACACTTACACAGGAGATTAGAACACATTTCAGAACATTACATGGCATCTTACAAATCAGGTAACAAGTGATACTAATCTGTATTGATGTGGTATGCAATCTATGAGCTGGACTAGTATATGTTGTCAAAATTAGACTTCAGAATGTGCTGTGTGTATTCTCTCAAATGAACATCATCTGTAATAAAAAGTATTTCATGGCCACATTCTATTTTTTCATAATTTCGCATAATTTCATTCATTTTCTCATTTTTAACGAATTACAAATTAACTGATATAAATGTTCAATGCATTGTCAATTGAGAGTATGCTAGTTATGAGATTTATACTCTCTCAAATTCTCATTCTGAATATAATGCTTTTTGGGATTCGTTATTGTTATTATAATCTCGTAATATATATTAATATATATATCATTTTTGATATTTTACTATATAACAAGTGTCTTGACACGTAAAATTATTGCATTCTATGTATATTATGTTAAACATTTTGTATTTTAATTATTATATTCTGTATGCTAGGGAACAGATTTTAATAGAAGAGCTGGAAAAATCTAGTAATGAGAAAATTGAGCCATTAGTTGAGATGAAAGATACAGTTATGATGAATATCAAGAAACTAAATATGATTGTTAAAGGTATGTTGTTTTTCCTGGCAAGATTTCGCTAAAAAATGTAGTGGTGAGAATTTGATTAAAAGAACATATACAGGTGGGAATTTGATCCATTCTTTAACCTTGCTTGGTCTACTTAGTTATAAAATTACATTTATAATAGAAAATGTCACCTACTACAATTATCACCGGCCTGGACTTGAAAACAGTCTCTTGTTTATTTTTTGGTGATTTTTCAAAAAAATAAAATATGGGAGTGTATAAATGCCGAAAAACCAGTTGATGTGGAATAAACAAGAGACTTGCAATGGTCCTCTTGATATTAATATTAATGAGCATTTCAATACTGTCACAAATTTAATGGACGGAGCATGGATACATACAAGTTTACATTCTTTCAAGATGGCCATGAATAGCGGGCAAATGATTGCTAGCACACCGACTGTCATATCACCAGGAGCCCCTGGAATGCATTTGTATTGTGTGTTGCGTCAAAGATGAAAAATTGGATAATCCTAGAAGACTATTCAAAGCTGGCCAGAAGATGCTTGCCTGTCAAGAAATTGAGTTGCTAGCTGGTGATTTGATAGACCGACACTCAAAACACTCACACAAACAACTACCATATTATATCTATTTAGCAACATTTGCACTGATGTAAATTACAGAGGTGTTTCTATAGACAAAATAAGTAATAGTTTTATTTTTAATCATTCTGAATCAGTGTTTTGGTTTATATGTGCTTCTATTCATGAAAAAATGCCGTACTACAACAAAATGTTTAATACTAGTATATAATTATATAGTATATACAGTCAAACCTGTGTTAACGACCACCTGTGCAGTGCGG